CTCACAGGTGAGGAAACTGGGCCACAGGAACATCCATGAATTTTCCCAGAATCTCATGGCCCGTCTATGGGAGAAATCGGGAGTCCACCTCCCAGGACTAACCTTATAACTCCCACGGTAAAAAATCTTAAAGAATTCAAGGGACCTCCCTGGTGCTCTAGTGGTTAAGATTCCATGCTGCCAATGCAAGGGGAGCGGGTTTGATTCCTAATCAGGGAACTAAGTTCCCACATGCCAGGTGACACAGTCAAAAGATTTTTTTCTTTTTTAATTTCTTAAAAAAATCTTAATGAATTTGAGAATTCTTTAAGAGGTTATGACTCTGCATTTTCACTGCCACGGGCCCATGTTCAATCCCTAATGGGGGAACTAAGATCCCACAAGCCTTATAGTGGCACAAAAAAAAAAAAAAAATTTTCAAGCCCCCTGACTTCTCTTCTGGGGTCAGACACTGTTAATTGGGCTGCCACCTGCAGTACCCACTCCAGTGTTTCTGTGGCTTCACATATAAAGTTGTCTTTCTCACACAGGTGCAATGGGCGTAGGCTCTGCTCCTTGTAGTTCTGCAGGGACTCAAACCCCTTCCAGCCCACTGTAGGGAGGGCTTTGCCATCCTCCCCTGGGTCCTCCACACCCGGCCACGGGACAGGGAAGAGAGTGAGGTCAGACCAGGACGTGGCATGGTTTACATTTCTTCAGCTACATTCCACTGACCAGAGCTCAGCCCATGGCTCCGACTGCCTGCAGGGGAGATTGGGAACTGTAGTGTCACTATGTGCCCAGGAAGGAAAGGAATTGAATTGGAAGGACACAGGGGTGTGGTCCTGAATGCCACGCCCTTTGGCCGCACATGGCTCCAAAGGTGCTGTATGTCAAAGGCTGCCTGGTCCCATCAGGACCACAGAGCTAAGCTCAAGAAGTAAAGACAGAGTGGGCACACCAGTAGGAACTGGGGGACTGTGAGAGCACAGAGCATCCTCTTAGTTACACCCCCCACCCACCAGGCTCAGCAGGAGGCCTTGCTCATCTGACAGCTCACCTTGGGCCTAGGGCTATGTGGGATCACCAGCAGCAGCCACCTCCTCCCTGAGCTGGCCAGGGCCCCCTTCTCCAGGCCGGGCCCTGGACAGATGCTCCAGCAGCTTGGTCGTTGCTACCCTGGCCAAGAGTAGGACACAGGCACTGATGTCCCCAGGAGTAACCCCACTCTGCCCCCCACCCACCGCCAAGGAAGATGGGCAGGCCTGAGGTTGGAGAGCCCCTGGGCTGTCTGGGTTTGGATACTGATGGCACTAGTGATAAATAATCCACCTGCAATGTAAGAGACACAGGAAATGCAGGTTCAAACCCTGGTTCAGGAAGATCCCCTGGAGGAGAGCATGGCAACTCACTCCAGTATTCTTGCCTGGAGAATCCCATGGACGGAGGAGCCTGGCAGGCTGCAGTCCATGGGGTTGCCAAGAGTCGGACACAACTGAGGGACTAAGCATACACGTCTGCTTTAACCCTAAAGTGTAAGAAACACCAAATTGTGTTCCAAAGTCAAGGACAAAATATTTGGTCTAGAGAAGACACGTGACTTAGCTCTGGTCAGACTGATGCAGACTCTATCTGTCGTGAGAGAGGAAAGGGTGGGAAAGGAATAGGGTGTTATGATCAGAAGCTTGTTCACACCTACTCTTGGGCCCAGCCAGTGTGCTCCCCAGAGAGCAATGTAGAGCAGATGCCAAGGTCCCAGCCCCAGGCCCCAAGAAGACAGAGGACAGGTATTCCTGAGACTGCAGGACGCAGTGCAATGGGGCTGAGGCTGCAGTAACCACTCTGCCTCTTTGGGCATTGGAGGGAGGCCCAGGAAAGCAAGGACCTAAGTCTCTTACTACCCCTCTGACCCTCTTATTACCCTCTCCCAGCCCAAGCCTCAGGTGAGCCATCAGTCCAGGGAGACCTGACCACCACAAGGCAACCGACTGATCCATGGGTATGTGGGAAGAAAATCTTAGAATTCAACATACATGCGTCCACATGTATTTCTATCTAAAAAGAAAGAAAATAATTCAGCTCTACTAATATTCAACATAAAAATTGGCCCAGGCACCCCCGCTATTTTGGCCGATCATGTCCCCCACATTAGTCAGTGTCTAGTAGGAGACATGTCCATCAGGCAGAGAACTTGAGGACGGCATCCTCACTCTATTGCTCAACTTCTGACCTATTGTGACATATTGCCGTTCACATAAGCTCAGTTCAGTGGAATGCACATATTGTAATGTCTGATTCAAACTAAACTGGGACTTCCCTGGAGGTCCAGTGGAAGGGCTTCTCACTTCCACTGCAGGGGACACAGGTTCAATCGTTGGTCAGGGAACTAGATCCCCCAAGCTGCAACTAAAATACTGCATGCAGCAGGCAACAAAGATTGAAGATCCCACTTGCTGCAACTAAGACCTGGTACAGCCAAATAAATAAAAATTTCAGAAAAGAATTTTTTAAAAAAAGGACAAGTGGCCTAAAAAGATTTCTGCAAGGAAACAGCAGGAAAACAGGAGCACTTCCCGCTGATCCCAGGACATGATTTCATTTGACATTTCAGGAAGGAGAGACAAGGGTTGCGTATTGAGTGCTCCAGTGAAGATTTCCAAAAGTGAAATCTCTTTTCATGAGGACAAAGGTGAAGTTTAAACAGTTGTTAAGGAAGTAATTCTTTTTGGAAGAACTATAGTATGAGAGAACATTTAGAAATAAAGTTGGAAAGTGTTCCCATTGTTACTTGATTTTATTGCCGAAAACCTCATGTGTTCCTAAGATCTTTCACATCCACCCTTCAAAGAAAACAAAAAAGGAATTTTTAACTTGCTTTAAAATGAGTTTGAGTGGGTTTAAAATCCATTTGTGAAAGTATTAAAATGCAACATATTCCAATTTCTTTGCACGAAGAACTGATTGACATGAGAGAGGATGGAAATTTGAAAGTCAATTTTGAACAAAACCTTTGCATAATTGGTGGATGGCATTGAAAACTGAAAAATGAATGTCATGGTTTAATGAGCAGAGCCCACAATGCACCTCGTCCATCTGGATCTAGGTATCTTCATGAAGCCTTCTTTTCAGCTGTGACAGCCTTTAAAACTGAATATTGAAATAAACTGAATTTAGTACCAGACATTCAAGTCACTGTCCCGCAGAGTGTGAAACTAGGATTTTCAAAAATAAAGAAGGATATTCAATGGCGTCGCTCTCATTATGGAGGGCAAAAAGGGATTTTACACCATTATGAAATGAAATGCCATCAAAATTATTTTAAAACTGTTTATTTATTACCTCTTTCTAGTTATGTGGCTTTATAATGTGTATATAATAATATGCATGATGTCTAGTTTATTAAGTGTACATATTTAATAATATGTATTTTATAATGTATATGCTAATGTATTTTATGCATATAGTTTATGTTTGTAATTTATTAAGTTCTATGAAAATAATTTATAAACAAATAGATATCAGGATGCCTGCTCAACATTTTTTACTGATGACATATGAATAATAAAGTTGGCCCATCTAGCTCTGGCATCAGAGCTAATTGGCAACAGAGACTGAGTGTAAATTCGAGCATCCAGAGTGCCAGGTATGGCCTTTTTCCTGCTCTGTTCTTTCTGATCCTTCACTCAGAGCCTGGTTTAGCTACTTTAGTTACCAAAATCTCACTATTGTCTCTGTTGAGAAGCCCTTCCTGCTATTCATTTCAGTCTCGCCTGCTGCAAATAAAGCCTGGAATGTTCTGGAGGCTAGGTCACTTTCCTGCCCCCACTGTAGCAAAGAACAGCCCTCTTAAATCTTTGGCACCTGTCTTGACCCCAGAGAAGAGACAGTCCCAGAGAAAAGTAAGGCCTGCTCCTCAGCTACCCTCTCAAGGGGTTCAGCACTTCCCTGAAGCAAGGAGATCTTTCTCAGACACAAAGATGTTCACAGCTTTCCCTCCCTGCTCCTGTTCTGCTTTAAAGCTTTTCCTGTATCTCCACTGTCCGCAACAGAAAAGTCAGATTGCCTAGGGCGACCCCCACGCCCTTGACCCCCTGGACCAACCCACCTGCATCACTCAGCAGCAAGAAACAGAAACCACACTGGCTAAACTCAGCAGAAAGGAATGTCATACAGGTAATTCCATGCTGGTAAACTCATCAGAAGGGCTAGAGGAACAGGCTGCACCTGCAGGAATGACTCCAAAGACAAACTTGGGACCCGCCCTAAGAAGCAAGCACCTCCTCTGACACCATCAGAAAGGTCTCCGGAGCCACCCAAGAAGGTCCGTTGGTTTCAAGAACCGTCACCTAACTGTTTCAGGGGTCAGGAGGCCATTTGAGCAACAACTTCTCCACACCCACAAAGCTGGACACTGGATGCTAGAAGGCAACGTCACCCTAAATCAGTGCCTCCATAACCATGCTGAGCGAGGAGTCATGTTTCCAAGTCCGTTTGATTGACAGACCTGTTTCCTTACTAAAACTCTAGCAGCAACGGAGTCTGAGGAACGCAGTGGTCAGTGTCCAGGCTCTCCAGCTAAGCAAGGCTCACTAGGGGAAGAGTGGGCAGAGGTCGATGCTGTGTACACACCGTCTCTCCAGATTTTTCTCCCAGCATTCTTCGCACCCTCACCCTGAGTTCCAACTATAAAAAACACCCCAAAGGTCTAGGAGCACCCCAGGCTTTCTCACCTCTCCGACCTCGCCCAGGTTACTCACCATCCCCCTCCACTTTGAATGTCCTTCTGAGGCTGAGATGTTTCCTCTGGTCCAGGAGTCAGGGGTTACTATAGCCTGCAACTGTCAGACAGAAATATAATCAAGTCACATATGTAATTCTAAACTTTCTAGCAGGCACATGTAGAGACTGAATAATGGCCACCCTCAGAGCTAAAGCCAGGACGAGAGTCAGTCACCTTGAGCCGGGCGAGCGCTGTGGTCTGAGCAGGGGCAGCAGGGCAGTGGGAGTACAGACTGAAAAAAATGCAGACCACTGGGGCACTACTCATTTCTCCTGCTCTGATCCGCTCTTGTACCAGGGGTCTGATCAGGCCTGTGTCTGCCTCCTTCCTGAGTAGGCCAGAGATCCCATCTGTACAGCCTTCCTGCAGCAGTGGCCCACTGCAGGTGGCCCGGCGGGAATTCCAGACCAGTGTTGTCTCCCGGGACATTGACACAGCTGCCAAGTTTATTGGTGCTGGGGCTGCCACAGTTGGTGTGGCTGGTTCAGGGGCCGGTATTGGAACAGTGTTTGGCAGCTTGATCATTGGTTACGCCAGGAACCCGTCTCTGAAGCATTAGCTCTTCTATGCCATTCTCGGTTTTGCCCTGTCTGAGGCTATGGGGCTCTTCTGTTTGATGGTCGCCTTCCTCATCCTCTTCGCCATGTGAGGCTCTGTGGAAGTCACCTACCCACCCCTGCTGCTTCGACTCCAGGCCATGCCCCTTGCTGGAGTGTGCTAACCTTTACCATTAAACACAATGTTTCTCTAAAAATAATAATAATAATAATAATAATGGCCACCCTCAAAATATCAAGTCTTAACTCCTGGAAATTTCCAGTGTTACCTTACTTGGAAAAAGGATCTTTGCAGATGTAATTAAGGATTTCACAGACAGATTACCCTGGATTATCTGGGCGGGGGGGGGGGGGTCCCTAAATGCCATCTTAAGTGTCTTTATAAAACAGAAGCAAAAGATAACACAGACACGGACTTCCCTGGTGGTCCAGTGGTTAAGAATCCACCTGCCTAGTCAGGGAAGATCCCACATGTCTCAGAGCAACTAAGTCCATGTGCCACAAGTACTGCGCGTTCGCTCTAGGGCCCACGAGCCACAGCTACTGCGCATGCGCTCTAGGGCCCACGAGCCGCAACTACTGCGTGTGCCGTTTAGGGCCCATGAGCCGCAACTACTGCGTGTGCCGTTTAGGGCCCATGAGCCGCAACTACTGAAGCCCACACACCCTAGAGCTGGAGCTAGCACAGACGAAAGAAGCCGCCACGCTGAGAAACCCCGCACCACAACTAGAGAGTCGCCTTTGCTCCGCAACCAGAGAAAGCCCATGTGCAGCAGTGAAGACCCAGCGCAGCACCCCCAATAGATAACACAGAGAAGAAAGCAAAGACAAGACAAGGCAGAGACTGAAGAACGTGGCCAGAGCCCAGGAATTCCAGGGCAGCCACTAGAAGTTGCAAAAGGCAGGGAACCAGTTCTTCCCAACGACCCAAAATCCAGCCTCTAGTCTCTAGACTGTGAATGACTACATTTCGATGTTTTAAGCCACTCGGTTTGTGGAAATTTGTTACAACAGCCTCGGGAAACTAATAAGTGAAGTGAAAGTCGCTCAGTCGTGTCCGACTCTTTGCGACCCCATGCACTATACAATCCATAGAATTCTGCAGGTCAGAATACTGGAGTGGGTAGCCTTTCCCTTCTCCAGGGGGTCTTCTCAACCCAGGGATCGAACTCAGGTCTCCCGCATTGCAGGCGGATTCTTCACCAGCTGAGCCACAAGAGGAGCCCGGGAAACTAATAAAGTACATCTCAAAAAGTGAAAAGAAACAGGTCAAATTAACTTTGCTGGTTTATTTTATTTACCCCAACATCTACAAAATATTATCAACATGTTATCAAGAGAAAAAGTACCAACGAGATATTTACATTCTTCAAACTAAGTCTTTGAAATCTAAATTTTATTTCCCATCTATTTATGTGTGTTCAGTCACTTCCGACTCTTTGTGACCCCATGGATTGTAGCCCACCGGGCTCCTCTGTCCATGAAATTTTTTCTAGGCAAGAATACTGGAATGGGTTGCCATTACCTACTCCAGGGGATCTTCCCAACACAGGAAAACCACATCTCTTGCATCTCCTCCTGCATTGGCAGGTGAATTCTTTACCACTAGCGCCACCTGGGAAGCCCTTCACACTAATGACATGTCTCAGTTTAGACCGGGCACATTCTTCATCCACCCGTGACTAATGTTTACCATAGAGGATGGTGCATTTCCCCTCCTTTGTAGAGCTCTAGGCAAGCAGCAGCCTGGAATTTGGGGCCTTATTTGTCTATAAGTCTCCGTTCCCTTGGACAGCAAGGAGATCCAACCAGTCCATCCTAAAGGAAATCAGTGCTGAATGTTCATTGAAAGGACTGATGCTAAAGCTGAAACTCCAACACTTTGGCCACCTGATGCAAAGAACTGACTCATTGGAAAAGACCCTGATGCTGGGAAAGATTGAAGGTAGGAGGAGAAGGGGAAGACAGAGGATGAGATGGTTGGATGGAATCACCGACTCAGTGGACATGAGTTTGAGCAAGCTCCGCAAGTTGGTGATAGACAGGGAGGCCTGGTGTGCAGCAGTCCGTGGGGTCGCAAAGAATCAAACATGACTGAGCGACTGAACTGAACTGAACTTCCATGCTTCCACAGAGCATGCATAGACTTTATGCTCAATGGGGACAGGAATCTTGTCCCATTCATCTTGGTATCCCAGTGCCTAACATCAAAACAGTCAATAAATGTATTTTGAATGAATGTGTATTTTGAATGGATTCTTGACAAGAAAAAAAAGCCCTGTAGGAAACTACATTTTTTGGTTGATTGGTTTTCCGTCTTCTCTAGTGAGTGGAGTTCAGGATCCATCAAAATATAGACTTGGAATCCCTTCTCTCAGAAGCGCAGATGTAGACCAAGTTCTCCCCAGCAGCCAGGAAAATGCTGTATGTTAAGGCTAGAAAGAAATGCTGTGAATAGGCCTGTGTCTACTAATAATCTTCCAAAACTGAAAGCATCAGACCCAGATGGGTTTATTGTGAATTCTACCAAACATTTAAGGAAGAAATTATACCAATTCTCTATAGTCTCCTTCAGAAGCTAGAAGCAAAGAGAATACTAGCTAATTCAGAGGCCAACATCACCCAAATATCAAAACCAGACTGAGACTTTACAAGAAAACCACAGATCTCTCATAAGCATCGGTGCAAACATCAACAAAATACTAGCACATTGAGCTCTACGATGTATAAAAAATTATATAGCACAACCAAGTGGGATGTAGCGCAGGTATGCAAGGTTGGTTCAGTATTCAAAAATCAGTTAGTGTACTCCATCACATCAACAGGTGAGAGAGGGAAAAAAATCACATGGTCATATCCATAGATGCAGAAAGGCTGATGATGTCAGAAGATCATGGTAGTAGCAGAGCGAGGTGGGGATTAGGCAGAGGCAGGAAGGTGTGGGTGCACAAGGTCTATGAGGAGGCTGAGGCTGGAATCAGTGTTCCTGAGACTGGCTTAAGGTAAAGGGAACAATCAAATGTAAACCAAGAGGGTCAAATCTGCCAAGAAAGATTGTAACCCTCAGGCACAGGGTCATAAGCCTAGGGCTCCCAGGCATGAAGAACCACTACTAAAGCGGTCCTTGCTGTCAGCCCCCAGGAACACAGCCAGGGCCAATGTGAGGACCACACCAATCCTGGCCTGACGCTTCGCCCCCCGCCCCATAACCTGCACCTTCCCCCTGAGAATCTTAGCAGCTGGCTGCCCATGAATAAGTCTGCTGTGGGCAGTGCATGCTGGCTTGCAGCTGCACACACCCCAAGGGAGGGGCATCATTTTCTTCATTCAAAGACACAACTGCTCACCAAGCCACGGGCTGCTGGCTGCGTGAACACCCAGAGACACCTTTCATTGTCTTTCAGTGATCGCCTTTCACTGATATGCTCAGCTGTGCTTCCCGGCCTCCCTTGACACAGGCCACAGTGCCTCCGTGAAGCCACAGAACATCAAAGACTTTAAGGCCAGAAGCCCTTCTACTCAGCATCAAGGGGGCACTAGGCAGCCCTCCCATCCACCCATCTCTAAGATAAGCCCCTGCTGGGATCACCCTGAGTCCCTGGGCTGGAGAGTGTACCAGCTCCCTAGCTTCCAACCAACCTGCCCAGAGGGGACTTGGCTTTACCACTGTGCCCCTCCCCCACAAAGTCTGGATGCCCCCTCACCACACTCTGGGACCCCTGACAGAACAGGAACGGAGCTGGAGCCAGGGAGAGGGAGTGTCTGGACTTTTGGACTTTCTGCCATCACTCCCGCATGGAACTTTCACCAGAACAGAACAGTGCAGAGGGATAGTCTGTGAGTGAATGAATGAAGACCACCATGGTGCTGAGCCCCCTCTCAAAGCCCTCCAGACACGCAGAGCCTCTTCTCATTGAGTTAGAAGCTTATTCCCAGACTAAGAAGAAAAAGACAAGATCTGTTCCCAGCCTGAGTCCCAGCAGGCCCCTACCTGGTACCTGGGTATAACCCAACTCAGAGAGCACAGAAGGGGCCTATGAGAAGGGTCTCCTGCCCCTTGGCATCCTGCTCCCCCAAAGCCAAGGCTTCACTCTCTGCTAGCTCTGCCAACCAACCCTGTATCCCTCCCCTGGCTGGCACTCAGGTGAAGGGAACACCTACAGCACACTTGGTTCTAAGAAGACCCTGTCCAAGCAGAGGTTCCCCTGAGCACTCAGCGCCCAGGGAGGAAATAGGATGCTTAGGAGCCTCTCACATACACTCACACACCAGGCTCCAGTGCCCACCAAGACCAGGCTTCCCTTCCCTGCCTGTGCCAGCCCCACCTGAGCTGGTCCAGACAGGCGGGTGGGGCCTGTGGGCTGTCAGGCCACGTGTAGGGCTGGCGGGCCGGAGCGAGGGCGGGGTTGGCTGGCTGCTCTTAAGGCGGGGCTGGAGGTGAAGGGCGCCTCCCTTTACTCCTCACCTGGGCTCTGACCGACCGCCTCACTTCGTCTGTCCCAGGAGCCAAGAGTGAAGGCAGGAGCGTCTTGCTTGCCCTGGACACCAGGTAGGCACCTTTGTTCTTCAAGGAGAAAAGAGGAGTAGGCTCAACACCTTCAGCCAGCCCTTGTCCCCAGTTTTTCTCCTCTCCTGGGGCTCAGAGTGAAGGTGGAGACAGATAAGATGGTCCCGGGACCACAGACTGCAGTTCTGCACTTTGAGGGTACTGAATCTGTAGCCCTCAGTGTACAGATGAGAGAACCAGGGTCTGGGGAGGGGAAGGGGTTTGCCTGGGGTCCTGAAGACTTGGGAAGGGAATGGACCCAGAACCTGGCCTCCTGCCTGCCAGCCCAGAGCCCTCAGAGCCCCCCGTGCTGGGTCATTCAGAGGCCATCAGGAATCCTGGTGTGGGAGGGAGAGGATGGGCAGAGCAGGGCTAGGGAAAGGCCTTCACCGGCCCTGCGGGCCCCTGTCTGCTTCACCAGGTCTGGGTGGGGACCACGGGATGATCAGAAGCCACTCTTTCAGCAGGGGGGTGGGGAGGGGATTGGGCTGGTGAGGTGAGGCACTCTGGGGGACACTTGTCCTTCCCTCTGTCATCCTCTCTCTCCACTGCCCTAGGCTTGTAGGAGGGAAAGAGTGAGTCAGGAGAAGAAGCTGGCACTGAAACTGACAAGGGGATTTGCCCAGGAATCAGGATCCCCCTGCCTCCAGAGCCCTTGGGAACAAAGAAGGAGATTTGAGTCCCATGGGTGGACAGGACCTATAAATAAGACTGAGTTGGCTGGAGCCCTCCATACCCACTACAGCCCCCAACAGGCACACACAGAGTGCTGAGCCCAGGAGTCCTCCCCTCACCTTTCAAGCAGGAAGGAAAGAGCTAGAGAAGTGTGCTGGTGGGGACAGAAGAAAGAGTGTCCAGGAATAAAGGAGTGAGACCAACCCCTTCGCTGGGAGGTCTGGTGGTGCTTCGGGGAGTGTCAAAAGTGAGAAGACTTAAAGAAAATCCCAAGGGGCTGCCTAAACTTTGCTCAATCCCATACCTGTCCCACTGGGTTCTAGAATCCCAGAAGGACAGAGAGAGGTGAAATGGATCTTAAATCTATGAAACAGTGGCACCGAGTGTGGGACTAGAAGCCAAGATGACTTGGGTTCAAATCCCAGTTCCACTATGGGTGCTGTGGGTTGTATGACCTCAGGCAAGTCCCTTAACCTCTCCAGTCCCACCATAAGAGTACCTTCTTCTAAGAACCATGGAGAAAACAAAATGAGTACATTTTAAGTGTCTGTTACGATTGCATTCCCATTATACAGATGGGACAGCAGAGGCTCAGAGAGGAAAGGACACTTGACCAGGGTGGCATAAAAGCAGATTCCAAACCAGTAGGCAGACATCCTGGATCCTAGTCCCGGGGGAGGAACCAGGTACCCAGTGCATTCCATAGAGACCAGGACCCCAGGTGCTCTCTGAGGCACAGCCAAAAATCCTGCAGGGTGTGCAGAGATCCTGCCCCAGCAAACCCAGAGCGCCTGGAGCCAAAGCTCCACGTCCTTAGCTGCCCCCAGAAAGGAGCTTGAAGGCCCGTTCCTTGTTCCCTTTCACTGCCATTTATAGACACGCTTCCCGAGCCTAAGATATGCCTGCCCCCTCCAGGATCTGGCCAAGGGGAAGTCTGGCGGCAGGTCTAGCAGGAACCGTGGGGTAGAAAAGATTTTTCTCATTAACTTACTGTGTGACCTTGGGCAACCCACAGTCCCTCTCTGGACCTCAGGTGTTTCTCTGCATTTGAACTCCATGTGATATAAGGAGTTAAAGGTCTAAAGTCCAGGCCTGAGTTTGGAACCCAGCTCTACCACTTTTCTGGATGTGTGGCCGACACAGATTTCTTAACCTCTCTGAATCTCAATATCTTCATCGGTAAAATGGACTGGTAATAGGGGTGCAGTGCTTCCTAAGGTTATGAGAGGATTAGAAGAGTTATCATAGGGAAAGTCAGTGCCTGACACATGGTGAGTTCTCAGTAAATGGGAGCTATTATTATTTATTGTTATGAAGGCATTATATCCTATATAAGCCCTGATTTCTAAGTAGTATTTAGAAATGTCCGATAGCTTTCACAAGCAGTATCTCACTGGTTCCACACCACCTTCTGGGAGGATATATAGCAGGAATTCTTATTCCCATCTCACAGATGAGGAAACTGAGGGTCAGATTGACACCTTAAGGAACTGTTTGAACTGGGGTTCGAATTCAAATCTCCAGACTCCGAAGTCTGCATTCATTTTGTTTGCCCCAGACTGGTCTCAATGACTTTTCCACGACTGAGGTCTAACTCTAAAGCAGAATGTAATAGAGGCATTTTGGAAACAAAGAAAAGTGGAGTTGGGGAGTGCTGGGGCAGGGGGAAGGTGAGGCTCAGGGCAGGCAGTTGTAGCACAACCAGCATGTCCCAGTTTCTTACAGTTTTCTTGGCAGCCTCTGTTTTGGAACCTCTTACCTCCTGTAAGAAACTGCTATCACGTAGCATTAAGGCTAGACAACAGGAAGAACTTCCCACAGTCAGGAAGCCTGGGACGTCTCTTTCCCAGATGAGCCTCCAGGGAGTGAATATCATCTGATGATGTCACTCCTAAGCTCTAAACTATTCTGTGGCTCTCCATTGCCCTCAGGGTTGAGTCAGCACTACCAAACCCAGCCTGCAAGGCTCTGTAGGGTCTGCCCAGCCTGCTTCCCCATCCCCAACCTTCCCTCCATTCACCCTAGGTTCTCTCTGTTTCCCAGATGCTCAGTAACGTCTTGTGATCACCTCGGTCCATCAGGCCTCTGCGTACACCTGCCTCCTCACCCTACCTGGTGTGCCCAGCCAGCTCCGGTTTTTCATCCTTGTCTCCCTTTACACGTCCCTTCCTCCAGGAAGTCCTCCCTGGCCTCCCCCCTCCCTGGCCTCCCCCTCTCCCCTTCCCCGTGCCCACTGAGTCCCTTCTGACTCCCCTTCTCCCCGATGACACTGTTGTGATTGCTCACCTGCTTGCTCACCTGCTGAGTAGCAGCTAAATGCAGGGGTCCTGACATTCACACAGCTGGAGTCCAATCCTACTCTGACACCCGTTGGCCTGAAGACCTTGGGCAAGTTACTTACCTCTTTGTGTCTCAGTTCTCCCATTATAAAATGGAACAATAATAGCATCTACTTCATAGGGTTGTTATGAGGATTTTAAAAGGTTTTATACACCAGAGCCTAGGTACATATAATTATTCAATGAATATTAGCTGTGCTGTGCTGTGCTAAGTCACTTCAGTTGTGTCTGACTCTTTGCAACCCCATGAACTGTAGCCTGCCAGGCTCCTCTGTCCATGGGATTTCCCAGGCAAGAATACTGGAATGGGTTGCCATGCCCTCCTCTGGGGGATCTTACTGATGCAGGAATCTAACCTGAGTCTCTTACATCTCCGGCGTTAGCACCTCCTGGGAATCCAGAATTTTAGCTATTATTTATTTTTAAAGTAAGGCTGGAACACAGTAGGTAGCCATCAAACATCTATTGAGGTTATTTTATTTATCCATCACTTGCATACTGCTTATTATATACTAGGCAAGTTCTAAGTATATTATAAATATTAACTCATTGTATAGATGAGGAAGCCAAGGCACAGAGAAGTTAATTAACTTCCCCAACGTTGCACGGCTAGTAAGTGGTGGAGCCAGGATGCAAATCCCAGGCAGTCTGGTTCCAGCAGCCATGCTTTTTAATGAGTGAATAAATATGCCTTTGTTTAGGGGGAGGGGAGGCAGAGGTTTCATCTACAGAAATTACTCAGTTCCCACCCCCGGCTTCTTTCAGGTCCCAGGAGCTCCCGGTTGGCAAGTGACAACTGTGGGATGTGAGTCTGGCTGGAAGCCAGAGGTAAACCGCCAAGTCACTGCCCTCAACATGTCACAGGTGATGTCCAGCCCTCTGCTTGCAGGAGGCCCCGCAGTCGGCTTGGCTCCCTGTGAGGAACCCAGGAGGGTCCTGCACCCGGCCCCCAGCCCCAGCCTGCCGCCGCAGTGTCCCTACTATACCACGGAAGGCTGGGGAGCGCAGGCCCTGATGGCCCCCATGCCCTGCAAGGGGCCCCCTGGCAGGCTCCAGCCAACCCCACAGGCTGGAGCCAATGCCAGCTGCCTCCTGCAGGCCCCGGGGGAGCAGGTCTCAGGGGCTCGGGAGGACCTTGCCTCCTACATCGACTTCTCACTGGAGAGCCTCAACCAGATGATTCTGGAGTTGGACCCCACCTTCCAGCTGCTCCCTCCAGGGCCTGGTGGCCCCGAGGCCCAGCCCACCCAGAGCACTACCTTGAAGAAGAAGAAAGAAGAGCCTGAAGTTTTGGGTAAGGAACTGGGGCACAGTGCCGGGAAGAGGGCTTGGGGACCAGTCCTCATGAGGAAGGAATTTTCTATCAAGTCAGAGGAACACAGAACTATGTCCTGTTGGGGAGTGCTGTGTGGCTGTAAACAAGTTTGTTAACCTCTCTGTTTCCTCTGCTCTATACAAGGGATAAATATAAGTAGTTCTCACTGTCCAATTCTATCTGGTTCTTGAGTTTGGAAAGTGATGGATACCTGTTTTATGTAATTTCTCAGAGAATTAAAATAAGCTAATACAAGTAAGAATACTATACAATGCCATGCATATAAATAAGAGCTTGATAAATATGTGGTCCCTGAATCTTAGTCTTCTGTGGTGTCTCTCTTTAGGTTCTAACTTGGTCCCCTGAAATTTTTATAGTATTTTCACCTCACCAGTAACAATAGATGTAAATAACTTCAAGTATAGACATAGTAAAATAATTAGAACATGATGAATTTTTGAGTATTTATTACTTTTGTTTTTAATGTCATTACATTGTAAATTTATATAGTTTACTCTTTAGTATTGCCTAAAGCATCAAACTATATTAACTTACAATGTTTACATCATTTAGCAACCAGCTGAAAAAATCTTGAAAATTTAACAATCAGCTTCTTTGAGCTAGTTCAAGCCAACTCCAAGATACCACCACCTCCACGATTGTCCAGAAATCTTTGCATCTGGCTTCAGTTTCCCAAAGAGTTTCCAGTATACATTGAGGATGAGGATCATGGAGCAGCAGCCCCATTAGACAGGCTGGAAGACTGAGGCCTCCAGGGGTTTAAACAATCAGTGTGGGCTAGGAGATACATGGAGGATTAGAGATGGGAGAGTTTCTGCTTATTGAGCATTTATCATTCTACCCAGGCACTTGTATGTTGAGCAGTTAATAATCGAACCTTTGATAATAATAATTTGATCCCTTCAGTCCACCTCCATGAGATGAATATTTTATCCTCATTTTACAAATGAAAAGACTTGGTTGATGGACTTGAGTGAAAAGCCAGTGTAGCCTAATCACTGGAGTCCAGCAAACCTTACACAAGCTGCTTATACTTCTTTGTATCTCAGATTCTTCTTCTATAAAACAGAGATGAGTTTTCACCTCAAAGGGTGTTGCAAGGATTAAAAGGAATAACATTTGGTGGGTGTTTATCACAAATTCTGGGACACTATAGGTCATGATCGGTGGTGGCTGTTTATAGTCAACATTGGAGTTGCATTTAGGACCAGCTCCAGGACAGTTTCAGACCCTGGGGTGGAGGTGAGCCCAGCACCCAGATCCTCTGGCACCTAGGTTCCTGGGTTCTAGCCAGCCTTCTGCTCCTGCCCCCTGAGCATTGCCTGCCAGGCCTGTTAAATGAACCACCTCCATCCCTCAACAGTCTTTTGCTTCTTAAGGCCAGTCGTGGGCATGTCTCTGCAGGAAAGATAGCTTGGGCCTAATTATCACTGGCAGGAGCAAGCCCAGGACTTTAATGCTCATGCCCCAAGGCAGGGCTTCCATGCATTCAAGGCCAACTGGGGTGAGAGCAGTCTCTGGGTCGGGTGCACATGTATGGGGTTGGGGTGTTGATAACAGGGCCCTTCCTTCAAGGGACCGATGGGCAGTCGTCAGCCTTCTCAGATGCCCTAGGCACAACCTGCCCTTGTGAGGATGTGACCACCAGACTCTTGGCAGCAGGGGGCGCCAGAGGGCAGCAGTGGTCCCAGGGTCCTGATGAGGCCACCTAGCTTCCCTTGATGGAATTTCTAAAAATCCTCTCCTCTTATCTCTGCCTGGACACCAGTGATGCCTGGGAGCTCACTACCTCCTAGCATATCCAGAGGGTCAGCTCCCTGTTGGAAAGTTCTCTGCCATCACAAGTATAGCAAGAGCCTGCCTGTCACTGTGGTGACTGCACCTCTCTCCCAAAACCGTCCCCTGAGACCACCACTCCTGGTGACAAAGCTCTCACCCGCCCACAGCCTCTCAGTGAGTTTCACCCAGCCAAATATATCCAGTGTTCAGGGCCCCTCTGTTTGCAGTCTCACTCGTCCTACTTTTGGCATGTTGAGTGGAAGATGTTCTGTAATTATGATGCTAGCAGACGTTCACGGCTTCTCTTTGTCCCAACTTGGCAGAATCAAAAGTTAAACACTGGCTATCCTATATCGATCCCTCCCTTAAAAATGTATGGAAGGATTTTTGTAAGCATGATCCCAGCGTCTACCCTGGGAAGGAAATAGTGGAAACTTCATTTACAGAGGAAAAGACTGAGGCTCAGGGAGGGTAAGTGATGGCCACAGTCACACAGCTAGTGAGTGGTAGGTCAGCTCAAAGCCCAGGCCTCTGGGCTCCAAAGTCCATATTCTAACTTTTCTCTCTTCCTCGGAGCAAGTTTTCTGCCCTCCAGGGCTTCACTGAGTTTACACCACACACACACCCCGCCCCCGCCTCCAGTTTCTCTGCCTCTGCCTCTTGCTGGCCTTCCTTCACATTAACCAGAGGTGGGCCAGGGGCGGCGTGGTAGCAGGGAGCAGGCTTGTATCCACCACCCCCAGGGAACACAACTTCTAGAAGCAAACACCACATCCCCGCCTCTGCCACCCCTCCCCATCTTTGGAACAGGCCCCCATTTTATTTTCCAGAATTTCTGCCAGGCAAGGCAGTTTGCCAATCCCGAGTGAAGGGTGTTTAATAACCGTCTGCCCCCCCCCCCCCACAGGCCCCCCTCCACCCACCCGGCCTGGTGCCGGCGCCTGCATCCACCCAGCACTGCTCAGACTTGCCCCACGGGCCTGTAAACAGCAACTGCACACAGGTGATGGGGCGGGGGCCCCATCACCCCAGCCACATCCACCTCGAGGCCAGGCTACAGCAGCGGGAGTGACTCACAGCTCCAGGACTCCTCCCTCCCTTCCTGCCCGAGTCTGCTTGCTCTTTCTCCTTCCCTCAGCTAGGCCTTTGGTCTCTCTTCATCAGGCCGGGAGGCCCTCCCCAAAGCAGCTGAGCATCTACTTACAGGCAAGGCCTTGGCAAAGGGTCCCGAGGAGCCTGTCTCAGTGGAAGAGCTCCCTGCAGACAGAGCAGGGGAGCAGGGATCAGCTTCCTCAACCCTTTCTGTAACACTACTCATGTATTTGTTTGGCTGCTCTTAGTTGCAGCACGCGGGACCTTCGATCTCCACTGCGGCGTATGGGATCTTTAACTGTGGCCTGTGGGATCTAGGGCCCTGCATTGGGAGCGTGGAGTCTTAGCTACTGGACCACCAGGGAAGTCCCTCCTCAACGTTTCAGAGCCTTGATTTCTCATCTGACATGAAATTAAGAATGTTTCCTACCTCAGTCAAGTTGTCATGAGGGTTAAATGAGCTAACACAGGCAATATGCCTGTGGCAATGCTAGCCCACAGTGCTCAGTAAATACCAGCCTTTGCTGTAAAAGGCACAATAAATCTGAGCTCTACCCTTTCATTTCTCCGAGCCTCAGTTTCCTGCACTGTAAAAGCAGTCCCTGTGGGCCTAAGGGTGGTCTTGAGGTTTGAGAGGATTTTGAGCATGAACATAGTGAAAGTGAAAGTGTTAGTCACTCAACCGTGTCTGACTCGTTGTGAACCCATGGACTGTAGCCCACCAGGCTCCTCTGTCCATGAAATTCTCCAGGCAAGAATATTGGAGTGGGTACCCATTCCCTTCTCCAGGGGATCTTCCTGACCCAGGGATTGAACCCGGGTCTCCTTCATTGCAGGCAGATTCTTTACCATCTGAGCCACCAGGGAAGCCCATGAATACTATAAAGACCTTTTTTTTTTTATTAAAAAGTCGTGCTTGCCAACCTTGCGGAAGAATTGACCCCATTCCAAAACTTCCCTTTCAGAGCCCACAATACACTGTAACAAATATTCTCTCGCCCTCAGCAGTGGGACCCCCACCTTAGCCAGAGTATTAGCCAACTGGCCAATACTGCCCCCCAAAAGCAGGCGGGCAGAAGATGCTCTTCGAACCCCACCATGGACCAGGCTCCAGGCCCCATTCATCAGTGTATCTCATCCTTACCGGAATCTTGGGAGGTTGGTTTTAGATCCTCACTTTACAGATGAGGAAACTGAGGCTCAGAGCAGTTAGGAAAATTACCTGATGATTCTTGGCGGGAAAGTGGCAAAGCCAAGACTTACACCTAGGTTTGTTTGTCGACAAAGCCAGGCCTGTTCCTCCATCCCCTGGGACAGCATGCACAGGTTGACCTGCCAGCTTCCCCCCTCCATCTGATGCAATCCTCCACCCCTACCCAGCCCAAGCAGGCTCAGACAGAGGCAGTAACCATGAGCAGGGCCAGAAGGTCCTAGCCCGGAGCGGGCTGGGGCAGGCAGGGACTTCAGAGGTGGTGAGGGGGGTTGGTGCATGCACCAGAGCCCAGAGGGTTGGGAGGCTGGCAGATGGGAGATGAGAGTACAGTTTCCCACTGACTCTGCCCTAGTTTTCATCCTGGGAAGCCAGAGGCAGGACTCACAACCCTCTAGAAGGGAGCAGCTCAATGACCCGAATCGTTCACCACCTTTCCCAGAACAGCACCGAGAACAGCTCCCCTCCCCCAAGTCAGGAGGAGAGGTACCTATCCCCCCTGGGGAGAACCAGAGGGCGCCCCACTCCAGGGAGGAACAAGAGTCCTAGGTGCCCCCACTGGGGAATGAATCAGAGTGAGTCAGCAGCCTCAGGTGCTAAGAGTCTACAGCTCAGTAAGGCAAGCAAGCCCTGCCCCCGGGGAGTTCTCCATGCAAGTGAACCCTAACGCTGACTTGTCAAACTCCAAGGTGCACCCAGCTCCCCTGGGATTTTGCTAAAATGCAGATACTGATTCAGTAGGCCTAGGGTGGAGCTGGAGATTCTGCACAATCTCCCAGCTCCCTGGTGAAGGGGTGCTGCAGGGCCGGGGACCACAGCGGTGAAGTCCAGTGCACAATGGAAACACCTAGGGAGCTAAGCTAAAACCCTGAGGCCTGGGCCCACCCCTGGAGGTTCTGATCTAACTGGCACCATTGCAGGCACAGACATAGAAACCACTTTCACTGGCCTGAGTAATAGAGGCATCTCAAGATGTGACCGGTGCAGTCCTTCCGGCTGGGGAGTGGAACACACGTGAAGGAGAGGATCTCTCAGTTTTAAAGGGCTTACTATGTGCCCGACGCTGTGCTGTGCCACCTACTTTCATCTCAGTTCATCCTTACTGTAACACCAAGAGGCTGGGTATAGCCATCCAATTCTACAGGCCTGGAAACTGAGGCTCTAGGTGGTCAAGTCACTTGGCCTACCTCTCAGAGAGCAAGGGGCAGAGCCAGATTTGAAACCCAGGTCTGTCTGACTCCAAAGCCCGTGTTCAAGTCACTGTCTCTCTCCACCCATGGGCAGTTGTCACAGAGAAGGTGACATTAAAACTGGTCCCTGAAGGTGAAGCTGGAGGCTGATCCTGATTCCAACAAACATCTCCCTGGGCTTCAGTTTCCTCATCTGTATAAGAAAGGGTGGTGGTCCAGTGGTTAAGACTCCTCACTTCCAAAGCAGGTTACATGGGTTTGATCCCTGGTTGGGGTGCGAAGATCCTATATGCCATGGGACACAGCCAAAATTTTTAAATATATGTGTGCTAAGTCGCTTCAGTCACATCCCACTCTTTGTGACCCCATGGACTGTAGCCTGCCAGCCTTCTCTGTCTATTGGATTCCCCAGGCAAGAATACTGGAGTGGGGTGCTGTGCCCTCTTCCAGGGGATCTTCCCAACCCAGGGATCGAACCCACGTCTCTTAATGTCTCCTGCATTGGCAGGAGGGTTCTTTACCATGAGCACCATCTAGGAAGCTCCTTTAAATATATATATATGTGGGCTTACCTGGTACCTCAGACTATAAAGAATCTGCCTGCCAGGCGGGACCCCTGGGCACAGCAACCCACTCCAGTATTCTTGTCTGGAGAATCCCCGTGGACTGAGGCCCACTAGGCCCCCTCTGGCGGGCTGCAGTCCATGGGGTTGCAGAGAGCCGGACACGACTGAGTGACGAAGCCCAGCGCAGCACTCTCTGAGAAAGAAGAGAGACCAGATGGCCTTGAGGACCCTTCCAGCATCCTTGTTCTGAGAGTCCAAGCTCCCTGGTTTCACCGATGCTCTGCTTCTCTCCCCAAAGATATAAAGTACATCGAGGTGACCTCCACCAGGCCAAGGTGCCACGATGGCCCACGGAGCTGCTGCAGCCCATCTGTCACCCCACCCTTTGGCTCCCCGTGCGCTGGCGGCCTCCTCCTTTCCAGAGACCTCCCCCGAGAGACCCGAAGCAGCAGCGAGAGCCTCATCTTCTCCGGGAGCCAGGGCAGGGGGCACCAGCGCCCCGCTCCCCCCTCGGCATCTTCCTCCTCTCCCCCCCCAGCATCTCCCAGCATCTCCATTCCTGGCATGGGGAGTAAGACCTCAGGCCCCCATGGCTTGGGCTCCCCACTGGTGGCTTCCCCAAGCTTGGAGAAGGGGCTGGGGGGCCAGGGCCCACAGCTGGGCAGCAGGATCTCCATGCTCTCAGGCAGCCCAGCGTCTGATGTCAGCTATGTGTTTGGAAGGTAGGTAACTCCCACTACAGCTTCTGATGTTGCCTTCATCACACACACACACACACATACACACACACACACATCCTAAATCAGATATCCCGCTCCTTCTGAGCAAAATCTGGGACTGTACCAAAAATAAAAATGAATGTTCTCTTTTATACCATTTGGCTCTCAAGCTTTCCTCAAGCATTTAGAGTATCATTCAATATAGGAAAATCTAGACTTCTATTTACCTCCTGGGAAAGAACTACTGCATTAATGAGGCTCACCTGTATCCTGTCCAGCCCTCCTACAGCCCATCTGTAGGAAGATTTGTTTAAAAAAAAAAAAAAAACCCCAAACACAGAATATAAAGAGAATCGAGGGTCTGGGAAAAGCTTCCTTCATCTTTGTTCCTGGCAAAACCTAGCAGGAAGGAAGCAAACCTGGCGGGGTATTATTTACATTTACCCTAGCCCAGTTCTCAGTAGGCTTCTGAGTAGAGCCACACACTCACACATCTTGCCCTGGAAGACCAAACCACAGGACCCCTGTCCCCCATACCAACTCAGAAGCCACTGTGCCCAGGCAGTCCCTGGCAAGGAGACTGGGATTCCACGGCCATGCGTTGGCATGGGCCTCTGAGCTCAGAGAGGAGCCTGGCTGGCTACAGAGCTGGCCTCTTTCTCTTCCTCCAGCTGGAGAATTCCCTCTGCATCAGTCATGGACATAGTCCAGCCCAGGTCCAGCCTGTGTGCCTGACTCTTGGGAATGCTTGGGGTGGGCGGGTAGGGAGGATGGCTGGTATGACAGGTTGGATTGCCGGGCTGGGAAGGCAGGGGGAACAGAGTCCAGCCTAAGCCATGAGACTTGCAGGGGGAAGCCCATGGGCTACTTTAATTAACCACAGACCCTACATTGCAGGTACACTCCTGTATCCTTCAGCATCCCTTAGGAGTCAGATGGGCTCTGGGGATGGGGTTGGGGGGCGGGGGGGTGGGGCATGGACGGGTGAAGTATGCAGTTCTCTGACCAAAGCCATGGGCACCTACATCACTAAATTCCAGAGCCCAGCTCTGGCCCCAGACAGTCCACTCCCACCTCCAAACACTCTGCCTTTCTGGCCCTCTCCCCCCTTGCAGCAGCCAGTCCCTCCTCCACTCCAGCATCTCCAGCCATCAGTCATCTTCTAGATCCTTGGAAAGCCCCAGCAGCTCTTCCTCCAGCCTCCACAGCCTTGGTCCAGTGTCCCCGTATATGAGAGCCTGTGACCTCCAGGTCCCCAGCAACGCCACCCCAAGCATGGGCCAGCCCAGAGCAACCCGCTCCCCACCTCTGGCCAAGGAACAAGCCAGCAGCTGCCCGCCATCTATCACTAACTCCATGGTGGACATACCCATCGTGCTCATCAACGGTTTCCCAGAGCCAGGATCTCCCCCATCCCAGAGGACCCCAGGACCCCAGGACTTTGTTCGCCCTGGGGCTACTTCCTCCAGCACACCCTGTCCAGCCCCCAGGAGCCACAGCCAGACCCTCCCAGAAGCCCCTCCCACCACATCCCCGGAGGGTAAGTTGTAAACCAATCAATACCTCGCGCTTTGTAAGGTTTGGCTAATGGAGAACAGGCAAAGCACCAATGTTTCTTCAAGAGCAGGTCAGTACATTGATTAAGTACCTACTGTCTGCCAAGCACTGTGCCACTTAGTAGGGACACAGTCTAAAAGGAGAGGGGAAAAACCCAAAGGGTTACTGCAGAGTAGGATAAACACAGAAGTAAAGAGATGTTCTGAGTCTTGTGAGGCTACAGAGGAAGAAGTGAGCCTTTTTACCTGGAGAAGTGGGGAGGCCAAAAAGTGGATCAAAAGTTCATGGCCAGAGCAGGAGAGGAAGGGCTGCCCCAGCAGAGGGCCAGAGGTATGAAGGTGTGGAAGCACATGGCATGTTTAGGAAATGACTGGGATGTTGGGTGCAGGGTGAGGTCATTGGGAGTAACTTGGGGCCAGATTGGGAAAGACCCTGAACACCAAGCTGAAGAGTAAACTTTAACCTTTAGGGACCAGGAGACCCTCAGAGACTCTCAAACCAGAGAGTGATGGACTCAGAGGCGCATGCTCCATCCATCACTCTGGCAGCTGCACGGCAGATGAATTGCAGGGCCTGGCCTGGCAGGGAGAGCAGTTTTTATTTGGTTCTGTTTGGGTTTTCATCACGAAGTGGTCCAGGGCGAGGCAGAGGGTGGAGGAGAGTGGACAGAGCCAGGAGACCCTCAGGATATGGAAGCAGCAGGCTGGGTGACTAACCCAGGAGAGGGAGAGGGCGAGTGAGTCCTAACTCTGACGTTGGCGGATGACGAACACAGACAGGGGAAGGCCAGGGTAACGGAGACAATGCATTCCAATTCAGACAGCTAAAAACCACAAAACAGCAACCACCCTCCTCCCTGCAGTCAGCAACTACAGGCATCCAAAAAGAACAAAGCCAACCAGAGCCCAAAGCAGTAAACACAGGCTAACCCTTAGCACCCTGGGGTACCTCTCTCCCAGGAGCAGAGCCCCCCACTGAGCCCCAAGGACAGGAGGCTGCTTGCCTGTGGCTCAGTCATCTCCTTCCTGGGCTCTCAGCGTGGCCACAGACATCAAGGTACTCCTGGGGGGTGTGAAATGCTCACTCTAGCCCACTGCTTGCTCCCACCCACGACGTCATGTCAATGAGAACAAGAGAAAATGAGGTGACAAATATGCTTTGAACATTTTCCTAGGACAAATCGTTTGCAGATATCAGTACATTTTTTATAATGAGTTATTCTCAACTGGCAGTAATACACCTTTTCAAGATGCCGAAACCGAGAACCACTGCTCTCTGCCTTTGTTGTTGTTGTTCATCACTGTGTCGAGTCCAACTCTTTGTGACTCCATGAACTGCAGCCAGGCTTCCTTGTCCTTCACTGTCTCCTGGAGTTTGCTCAAACTCATGTCCATTGAGTCGGTGATGCCATCCAACCATTAGGGTCCCAGGGAAATGGGGGGCACTTTCACATCTCAAAGAGCACATTTATTTGGCCTGGTGATATCACCATCCGGAATTGGTGATGCCCAGATAATCACTCATTATCCCTGGAATCTTAGCAAATTCCGCAAAATATTCTCAAGACAACATTCAGTTTCATTTCCGAGTTGTTGGAGCATTAAAGACCCTCATGGGACTTCTGGTTCACTCAGTTCCCTCTGGGTTTCAACAGGGAAAGAGCCGTCCCAGATCAGAGTCCAACTCCATCTCCTGACTCCTGGATGCTCTTCTGCCCAGATCTGCTGTCTTCCTTTCCTTTCTCCTTTTCTTTCATTTTCTTTTGCAAACTGAACATCCCTCCCCCCACCAAGAAACTCATAGGATTATTAAAGGGGAAGAAAACATGAAATCAAGCAAATGATGCATCTCAGAATCTTTTATTTATCCCATTTCTGTCTCTACTGCATAGTATTCAATTTGAGAAACTGTTTCTCATTGAATTGAGTTTTTAATCTATTTGTTTGTGATCCATTACCAAGGATACAAGGGTAGACTCCTAGATGGCACCAAGCTCCAGGATTCTTCTGACAGATTTTGCCCCTTTAGGGAGCTAGAGATACAGTGGAGAAGGGATACGGGAAGATGGGTTGAATGGGACCACTGGGCAGAGAAAGGGGAAGGTCTCTCAGTTTCCCTCTATCCGGCCTACAGGGTTCCCCTCCCCTGTCTGTCTCCAGGTCCTGCCAGGGACATGCAGCCCACCATGAAGTTTGTGATGGACACATCTAAATACTGGTTTAAGCCAAGCATCTCCCGAGAACAAGGTAAAATGAAGCCCTGATTCAGGGACTGAGTGACCCAGGAATCAAGTCTGGGTCCCATCACCCTGCATTGGGTAGATGGGACTCTGGGTTCATGTAGAGGAGGGAACGGAATGGCAAATGGCAGGTCCAGGGAAGGGGGTGTCCTGCGAACCCCATGACCCAAGGAAATAATGACTGTAGCAGGAACGGTGCAGGTTAGACAACAGAAAGGACTTCCTGGGAACCAAAGGCGATTCTGTACCATCTGCTCTATGAGGACCCACTGGGGCTGAGGCAGGGAGGGTGTCCTGGTGGGATGGTGACTGTCTCTGACCCAAGGATTGTTCCAGCCATCGAGCTGCTGAGGAAGGAGGAGCCGGGGGCTTTCATCGTGCGGGATAGTTCTTCATACCGGGGCTCCTTCGGCCTTGCCCTGAAGGTGCAGGAGGCCCCCACACCTGCCCAGAGCCGACCAGGTAGGCCGTCTGTGTATTCGATCAAGGCCTCTTAGAGGCACCTGGGTTGGGTGGATTCCAGTCCCAGCTCTGCCGCTCACTTGCAGGGAGACCTTGGGCCTCCCATCCTGGGAGGATGGACCTTGGTCTCCCAGTATTGAGGCTCCCCAAGTCCCCAGACTCCTTGCTCTGCCCCTGGTGGGAAGAAGAGGAGGGTCCCAGCCCCCCTCCAGCCTGCTCTCTTCTGGTATCCACCTCTGTCCAGCCCAGCTTTCTCACAAAAGATTGTAATGTAGTAATAACATGTGAAAATGAGACCTTTTTGGTTTGGTCTGTTTTTCTCAAATAAGAAGTAACTAGTAACATTTTACATCAAGTTTATAAAGTTTGATTTTTTCCTCCATGAATTCAATTTATTTTTACAAGTAAATACTGGGTTTTATGAGCTTCCCCAGCGGCTCAGTGGTAAAGTCACCTGCAATGCAGGAGACGTGGAGACCTGTGTTCGATCCCTGGGTTGGGAAGATCCCCTGGAATAGGAAATGGCAACCCACTCCCAGTATCCATGCCTGAAAAATTCCATGGACAGAGGAGCCTAGGGGGCTACAGTCCATGGTGTCCCAAAGAGCTGGAAACAACTGAGTGACTGAATAACAATAACGTGTGTGCTAGCTTAGGCCCTGTGGTCTTGCACACAACACGTGTGGAGGGAGCATCCACCCTACCCAGACACTGTGCAAGGCACCAGTGAAACCTCATTGAGGACAGAGATAGGAACAGACCATTGCATTACATGGTTCCTGGGTCACAGCCCTTCATCGAAGGCCCAGGATTGTAGCTCTTACACAAGGAATGGATAAGGGAACTGACAACTCCCAGAGGGAGTTAATGACCCCTGAGCCAGCAAGTAATAGCACAAGAGGATAAAAACCCCAAGTCCACATTCTCTACACCACACCTCTCTGTTCAAATAAGAAAGTGACCTCTGGGCAGCGTTAGTTATCAAGGAAGCCCTGCCAAGGAGTCCAAAGAAAGCAGGAAGCTGTGGGCTGGCAGAGAAGAGGCCAGGGGCGTGGTCCCCCCTCCCAAGGCCAGCCTGGCGCCAGCAGGGACCATCTGATGGAGAATAATAGCACCTGGGAGGGAGCAGGTAGGGGGAGCGGGAAACCCAGCCCAAGAGTTATTGAAACCAAGAGCAAGGTCTCCTGAAAAAATAATTGCACGTGTGCATAGTAAGTCACTTGATTGTGTCTTACTAGACACAGAACGCTTTGAGCAAAGATGTCGGCACCTCCTTCATGGGAGGCCTCGAGGATAGGATACCTACCTGTAGTCCCATCCAGAGGCAGGGGGATGGACAAGTTAACCTCTGGATGGACTGGAAGAGGCGGGTCAGGAAACAGGTTGCACTTCATCCACATGCTTTCTCTGACCAGGCGAGGACAGCAGTGACCTCATTCGCCACTTCCTCATCGAGTCTTCCGCCAAAGGGGTGCATCTCAAAGGAGCAGACGAGGAGCCCTACTTCGGTGAGCTGAGCCTCTCCAGCCCTCAGGCCCCTTCCAGGCAGGGTAGGTGGCCTGGGGAAGGCTCCTGATGAAGGGCTTCTGTTTCCTCATAGGGAGCCTCTCTGCCTTCGTGTGCCAGCACTCCATCATGGCCCTGGCCCTGCCCTGCAAACTCATCATCCCGCAGAAAGGTGGGCTGGGGCTCCATGCCTGTTCGTTCTCAGGGGTCACCTCTCACCTTACTTAGGGATCATGTTAGTGTCCCAGTGAAAAGTGCATGCTCTGGAGTCCGTCCATATCTCTACCTCCTAGCTGTGAGCATCTGAGAAAGTCAACCTCACTAAGCCTCTGTTTCCTCATCTATGAAATGGGCACAGTTAGCATCACACCTGCTTCTAGGCTGGGTGGGGGCTGAAATGAAAAAGCTCAGGCAAGACTTTTGGCACAATGCCTGGTGCTGAGTTGATGTTTGAGAAATAGCAGCTCTGTTTCAGAGAGGAGAAAAGAAGCATAAATCTGCCCATTCGGCCAGGTTTGGTTTTTACTTCCAGGTCCAACATTTACTGGGCCTCCCCTCCTCCATTCACACCTCACTCCAACCCTGTGAAGCAGTCATTGCTGGCTGTCCCCATTTCACAGATAAGAAAAGGAAGTGTCGAATCTGAACCCAAGTCTCCCTTACTGTCTTGTTCCAAAGTGTTCAGAGAGCTAACAGAGCACAAAGGTACAGACAGCTGTTTCATGAAACTCAAGGAAGAGAATTATGAGAACAAAGAAATGATCAATGGGTGAAATTCGCGGAGAACGAAAGAAAGAAAAGGAAGATTCGAGGCATTAAGTAACTTCCCCAAGGGCACAGAGTCAAACCTCCAGCCCAAGTCAGGGAGCCCTCTCCAGAGCTTACAGCCCAGCACATCTCGGGGTGTGCAGGAGAGCTGTAGGGGGCTCAGGGGGAGGAGTCAAGGCCGAGGGAGCCCCAGGTGTGGTGATGGCGAGAGCCTCCCTGCTTTCTGCAAAAAAACAAAAGAAGGCCTGGGTTTGGGGCAGAGTCTGAAAGAAGCAGGAGGTCAGGGGCCTCTGAGGCCAGGTCGCTACTGCAGTCTAGGGGCCTGAGGCGGGACAGGGAAGGAGGGATCAAAAAATCTGCCAGCTAGGCTTTAGGGGAGCCCAGGGCAGCTCCGATTGCCTAATTACAGGAATCACACCTGGTTTCTCAGCCAAGTCACTTCCTGAAGGTGGGGGCGGAGGTGGGACCCGTTCGAAGAGCTGAATGAGGTCTGTTCCGAGGACGGGGGTCCACTGACTGCACCCCGCCCCTGGGGGCCTGTTCCTTTGCTTTGGCTCAGAATTGGGAGGTGGAGACGGGGCCTCGGACCCCTCTGCAGATGGCCGGGCCTCCTGTCTGAAGAAATCTGCGGGTGAGTGGGGGGCAGGGTGGGGGGGAGGCTTGGCTGGGCCCCACCCCAGGGCACCTCCCCGCCCTGTGCAGGCACACGCAGGTCCACACGTGTTTCCCATTGCAGCTTTATTTCTCCATCTTTAACAAGGTGCCACATTCTTCCCTCTGCCTGTAAACCAGGAGATGAGAGGCTCAGGGCAGCAGGCCAGGAGGAAGAGGGGCAGGAGAGGAGGGCGGGTGTGGGGAGGCTTAGAGCCCATCCCGCATACGGGGTGTACACATGGATGAGCTCGGTTCTCTCTGGGTCTAAAGGGCCTGGTCCTGAAGAGGGCATCCTCCATGGCGTATCAGGTCCGAGTCCTGGGGGCAGTTTACTATGGGAAGGGTCACTTTTCATCACATCCAAGGGCCAAGCATGGGTCAGCATGGGTGAGTGACAGCTCGTATTCCGTGTCCCGAGCACAAAGGCCCCCTCCCCATTCCTGTCTCCTCTCTCTTCTCTCAGTAAGGAGCCAGGGCTCTGGGGTTGTGGGTGAGGGGTAGAGGCGGGGGAAGCACCAGCCATGGGGCAGAAGGACGCCCCTACACACAGGGCAACATCTCCTCCTTGCCCCCTGCTGGAGGGCCAGAGACCAGAGTGATGCAAACAACAGATGACCCCAAAGTCCTCTGGGGTTAGCCCCGAATTTCAGTCACTCACACAGTCCCTACCCACCTGCCTGATGGCTCAAAGAGGAAGCCTGCTAGAGACCCCAAACAGGATGGCACCCTTATTCCCCAGCTCTGGGCAGAGGGACAGCAGGGAGGGCCTGGGTGACCTCCACTCACCCAGTGGATTCTGGCAGGGCCCCAACGCAGTATCTGCACCCGCCCCCCAGGTTGCCATGCCCTGTATCTGAGCTCTGTGAGCGTGGAGACCCTGAGCGGAGCCCTGGCCGTGGAGAAGGCCATCTCAGCCACCTTGGAGAGGGATGTCCTCCCCACGCCCACCGTGGTCCACTTCAAAGTCACCGAGCAGGGCATCACCCTGACCGACGTCCAGAGGAAGTAAGGGACTTGCCTCGTCCTGGGGCTGCAGGGCTGGGCAGGGTGAGCTGGAGGGGACGGCTGAGGTGTCTGCAGAGTGGTGGTGGAACTGGAATTCAGGCTCCTGGACCCAGTGAGGCCAGTGATGTGCTGAGTGGCTCCAGACAAGTTCTCTGCCTTCTCTGGGCCTAAGTGCAATGACTTCCTGCCGCTTCATCATGACTGATGGATTTGGAATTAACAGCAGTCGTTGGGCACTGATTAAATCTGTATCCACTGATGGAACATCTCCTGTAGGCCAGACTCTGGCTGACCAATGAGATCGCTCCTTCCCAGGCTCAGGGATTCAGTCCAGCAAGATCCTGGCCCTGGGCTGGAGGAATAAGAGATGGCCAGCCGTAATTGCATGCTTAGTCGCTTCAGTTATGTCCAACTCTTTGTGATCCCGTGGACTGTAGCCCACCAGGCTCTTCTGTCTGTGGGATTCTCCAGACAAGAATACTGGAGTGGGTTGCCATGCCCTCCTCCAGCAATTTCTACCCTCAAATCATTAAATGACATAGTGGGCGATTGGGTGGGTTGGTAGAAAACCCCAACACATAAGACACAAGGCAGATATCTGACCCTCATGAAAGGAGAGAAATACAAACACATGCCCGGGTCCAGCAGTTAAAAGGTCACAGCAGGCTGTCAGGGGTCATGGAACTAGGAGGCTCAAGTTGGAGATGATGGAGGTGGGGCAGGATGCTGGGGCGGGCTCTCACCAGCTCCCCTTCTCTCCACGCCTCCTCCCAGGGTGTTTTTCCGGCGCCATTACCCCCTCGCCACCCTCCGATTCTGCGGCATGGATCCCGAGCAACGGAAGTAAGTTCAAGTCTGGGCCAGACTGAAAAGGCCAGCCGAGGGTCTTTTGACTGCCCCCTGACTCTTGGATCAGGGTCCCGGACAGAGCCTCTGAACCCCAAGGGGTGAGGAGCAACAGAATGAGGGGAGGGGAGCACCATGGGGATAGAGGAAACACAGCTGGCCATTATCAGCTCCTCCCACCCTGGGGTGCTCAGCTGGAGTTCTGTGAAATGGAGCAGAGAATTGGTACCCAGAACTGTCTTTGTTCCTCTCCCATAGGTGGCAGAAATACTGCAAGCCCTCTCGGTAAGGCCTTCCTATCCACTCAATCAGTCACCATGAGAGGTCTCGCTGGGGCAGGGCCCGGACCCAACACGGGGAGGGAGTCAGGGAAGGAGGGAGGCCCCAGGCTGACCTTAAGAGCCCATGGGTTTGCTGAGGGACAGCACAGGCCCCGGCCCTCTGGGAGCCACCTGTCTGAATGGGGTGGACATGAGCCTGGGAGCTCCCAGGGAGGCACAGGTTTTAGTCTGGAGGGACCCTCCAGTCTGCTGAGGAATACACAGGTCCTGTCCTCAGGGGCCCCCCTTCCAAAGGAGAGAAACCCAGATCCTAAACTTAGGGATCTCCCAGTCTGACGGAGGAGGCACGTCCTCCCGCTAGGAGAGCTCCCATGATGACGAGGTGCTGGGCTGCGGAAGGGCAGGAAGGAGGTGCTGGGCTGGGGAAGGACTGGGGAAGGGCTGAGTTCCCCAGCTCCCAGTCTTGTGCCTCCCTGGGCTCTCCTCACCAAGGCTCTCCTCTCCCATCAGGATCTTTGGGTTTGTGGCCAAGAGCCAGACCGAGTCCCAGGAGAATGTGTGCCACCTCTTTGCGGAGTATGACACGCTCCAGCCGGCCTCGCAGGTCATCAGTCTGGTGGGTGCTCTGCTACAGGACCCGGAAAGGATGTAGGGGAGGGAGCTTCCTGTGTGCCTTCCCAGACATCCCAAGGGGCTTGCCCAGGATCCCCCCTCTGCCCTGAGCAAGAAGCCTCTCACCACACTGATGGACCAGTACCAGGTTGAAACCCTTGAACTCACTATGACCTTCAGCAGCAACCTTCACCCAGACCCCCTTCCCTCCCGGGGTTCAGTCTCTTCAGCCTTAAAGGAGCAGGACTTCCCTGGTGGTCCAGTGGTTAAGAATCTGCCTGCCAATGCAGGGGACAGGGGTTCGACCCCTGGTCGGGGAAGATTTCACATGCCATGGAGAAACTAAACCCAAGCTCCACACCTACTGAGCCCACGCTTTAGAGCCTGTGCTCTGCAACAAGAGAGGCCACCACAGTGAACAGCCCTAGAGAGTAACCCCTGCTCGCCACAGCTAGAGAAAGCCTGTCCACAGCGGTGAAGACCCAGTGCAGCCAAAGGTAAACAAATAAATAAATGTTTTAAAAGGATACTTTAAAAAAACAAAAGGAGGCAACAGACAGGATCAGCTGTTCATCTGGGACATCTGTGGGTATCTTAACGAGCTCCCTGTGATTCTGAAGCAGACCCACATCTGAGACCCAACCCCCATGGAAATAACCTCTGAAGACTCCTGACTCTGTCAGTCTGGACACTACCGACACAGCAGCTTGAGCTAGAGACCTGTGACCCTTGTTTCATGGCAAACAACAGGTGCTGGGTAGGGACCCAGGGGCCATGGCCAGAGGCCAACCTGAAAGCAGGTGGTTGGCAAGGATTGAGGACCAAAGGGGGCCTCCCTGATGGTTCAACAGTAAAGAATCCGCCTACAGTGCAGGAGATGCAGGAGACGCAGGTTCGATTCCTGGGTCAGGAAGACCCCCTGAAGGAAGGCATGGCAACCCACTCCAGTATCCTTGACTGGAGCATCCCATGGACAGAGGAGCCGGGTGGGCTACAGTCCATAGGGTCACAAAGAATCGGACACGACTGAAGCAACTTAGCATGCACGCACAAGGACCAAAGGAGGGATGGACTGACTCTCTTTCCCTCCTTATCTGTTCCTTTCCCCATTTTCTTGACAGCTTCTTGAGCTGCTATTCCCAGGACAGAGCTAGATCCGCCTGTCCTGGATTCTACAGGCCAACGTGGCCATGGTTGTTCAGCAGGTAAGCACGTGGGAACTTGCCCTCGTGGTCAAAAAAGATGATCCAGCTGTCCTTAAGATCTTGATGTCTAGTCCCCTCCATTGAAAATGAGCATCAGTTCCGTCTCTTCTTTCAATTGCTCATAAGCAAGTGTGTCTCAGCTGCCCTAGTGTTACTTGTGTCACCCAGACCAGGAGGTGGGGACAGTGAGAGCCCCTGCTCACTAGAATGGACACAAGGGCCAGCTCTCTGGTTCTGCCTCAGCCTCAGCCTTGCTAGTCCTACACACACACACACACACACGTGCGCGCGCGACACACACACACACACACACACACGTGTGCTGCCCTGTGCAATGCTGGGGCGGCAACTGGCCTTATAGCCACATGAGGGCAGCAGAGAGTCAAGAATGCAAATAGGCAGCTACCCCCCAAGAGGCTTGGAGAAGTGGGCGGTCTTTCCCGCCCCACCTCCACCAAGACCCCCAAGAAGTTGGAACTGTTTGTCTAGCAGACCTGGGGACCTAAGGAAACCACACTATGAGAATGCAAGATGAGGCTCAAGGAAGAAGCCCACTTTTGCTCTATGAAAGACCAGTGCCTGCCCCCGCCCAGCTGGGGGCCCTGCCAGAGAATCATTATCTTTGGCCAAAGTTGGGCCTGAAGGGTTATTATTTCAACCCAGGAAACCAAACCAGACTGAAGCGGTCCTGGGCTGGCGGGACTGGCTGAGCCTAGCCCACCCAGCCTGTGGTCAGGCACTGCCCCACCCCGGAGACTACAGAATCTGGACAAGGTTCTCAAGGTCACAGTGCCCAAGTTCTCAAGGTCACAGAGAGCCCCCCGCCCCCATATATCTGTGGATGCCTTGTCGCTCCCCTCATGGAGAATAAAGTGTCTGTCTTTGCACAAGAATTGGTCCTGAGACATTCAGGGCTGTCCTCTCAGAGATGGAAACCTGAACAAAAAGGGGACCTGGCTGGGCTGGTGCAGCTGGTCTGAGAGACAACCACAAGTGCCACACCCCTCTCGCACCCCCGGCCATGGCAGGACAGCCTCCACCGGCTTCCACTTCATAAACCTTCACTTAAACTCTTCTGTGTCCCCCATGTGTCTGACATACCCGTTTTCCTTCTTCCTGACCCCTTTCCTGCCACTGTGGTAGGAAGATAGGAGGCCCGGGCTGTCTTGTGCATGCCAGGGCCTGAGGTGGGGACATGTGACATCCCTGCCAGCTCCCAGGATCTCACTCTGACTCCCAAAGGGTGGGGAGAGGCAGGTGAAACATGGACAGCTCAAGAAAAGTCTAGAAGAGTCCTTGAATCCAGATGATCCCCAAGCTACCAGCCCAACCCTGGCGACCTGAACAATGGCTCATCATTCATCCTGGTTCTGTCTCCAGTCCTGGGGTAATGCCCCGCCCCCAGCCCTCTCCAGGCCTGCTGCAGCTAGGGATTCAAGATGGGCAGGCCATAACAAGTGGTGCAAGAGGGGCTGCAGGGGCACCCCTTTTCTGCAGAGCCTTGGCAAGGGGCGAGCTGCTGGTTCTGCTCAGGCTATGTGACCCGTTGCAAAGGCTGCCTGTAGGAAGTGAAGAGACCTCCCACTGCATTTGAACCACCCACCATTGAGGAGCCCCTGCCGTCCCTCCCACTGCCCAGCTGCGGTTCCAGAAGGGCCTCCTCTCAGCTCCCTCCCTCGCCACGGACTGAGTCCACGGAGGTAACGACCCCTACTGCATTTATGTAGCTTATCTTTCCTCCAGGAAGATTTAATAGAGCACTTGACTTTTGCTGATGGGCAGAGCCGCCAGCCCAGCAAGAGCAGAAGGAAGGAAGGACAACCACCAAGGCAGGAGTTGGGAAGGGAGGGGTCTTTACACCCATGGAAGGATATCCAGGCGTCTTCTCTGCAGCAGGTTCCAGGCCTTGCAGTCCCGGGTCTTAAGCCTCCCCCAGTGTCATATTTCTCAATGTTCCATCCACCCCATCACTTTCTCCTTGTTCTCTCTACACACATACACCATCCCTCCTCACTGACCCCTCCCAGTGTCTCTCTCCATCCTCACCTTTCGCCTCATCATACTGTCAGCAGAGGTTCCTGTGCCAGATGCCCAGTGAGGCCAAACAAATTGAAACATTAAAGTTTGCAGCAAAGAAGGGATTTACTACAGGGCCGTGCAAGGAGATGGGTGCCTCATGCCTTAAAAAGCTCAGAGTGCCCTGAAGGGTCTCGGCAAAGCATTTTTGAAAGCTGGATGAGGCAGGGGGGTCAGGGTATGTAATCAGCTCATGCACAAGTCTCTGACTGGCTGATGGTGAGGAAACAGGGTGATGTCACAAAGGTTAACTTTATCAGTCTTTAGGCTCCAGGAGGTCTGGGACTATGTGCTTATAGTCATCAAGTAGTTAATGTCTTCCGTCTGGTGGGGGGCTCCCACATCGGTAAACTTAGGAAGTGTACATCAAATACTGTTATCTAGGTACTTCAGAGAGGGGTTAAAGCAGAGATTAGGGAAGAAGGCCTGTCCTGGGAAGGCCCCAGGGTCCCGCTCCATTTCAATACCTTCTCCACCCACCCCCTTTACAGAAAAGCCTTCCCCTTACTTTTGTCCCATTTAATCCCCACTCCCCTCTGTCCCACATGGCTGGACCCACAGCAAAGCCCAGCTGCTGCTGGAGTTGATGGGAAGGGAGGATGGCAGCCCCACGCCCTGTGCCACTGACCTTTACTCAAAACCCAGATTCCCAAGTACCCTGACCCACTCCACTCCGACTACTGAGCAAACTCCCCAGAGGGCTGAAACACCCTCAGCCCTATTTCATCTGACCAGCTACCTCCCCCATACTCATCTCCCCCAGGAGGCTCTGCTCTTTTATCTTCATCCTCAACCACCCTACTCCCACCCCACTATCTGCTACCTTCTACCCCTGTCCTTAACTCTCATGCCATTCAATAAGCTGAGAGCTTAGAACCAGAGCAAGGCTTGGGGTGGGGGTGGGGGTTGCTAAAGGCCCCCAGCCTAGAAGTCAGTACCTTGAATTCATGCATCAATGTCTCCTGGCTGCATGCTTTGCTCATGTGATCCAGGAAAACAGATAAATATAATATTGTTATAATGGAGGTTATAAGTGTCACACAAGGCTGGCAGGAAGGGTACAAATAGGAAAGATAAACTTTCCCCCTGGGGAGAATGAGGGAAATGTTACCAAGATGGTAGCAGTTGAGTTAGGTCTTCAAGGATAAGTAGCTTAACAGCAAAGAAGGGGGGAGACCCAACTTTTGCTGCGGTGGGTGGTGTTCTATGTGCTAAGTGCAATGTGAAGAACATTATATATGTTTAATCCCATCTTACAGATTAGAAAACTGAGGCTCAGAAGGTTAACTTGCCCACATACACCCAGGTACCCATAAATGGCAGAGAAACAAGATTCCAAACTTGTGCCCATTCCATTTACTGTGCACTCTCAGACAAGCAGATGGATGAATTTTGCATGAAGCACATAGGTATAAAAAGTACCATGTTTAATGTGGCTAAAATATACAGTACCCAAGGTAGTAGGTGAGAGAGGAAGCAAAGGAAAAAGGCAGGACCCAGATCATTCAGAGCCTTGGGTGCTAAGATGAAAATACGAAGGAATGAATACTTCTTGAATGAATGAATGAGTTTGAACTCAGGACCATTGTACAGTTGTGCAGGTTGCATGATGCACAGCTGCACATGGCAACCTGCTTGGACTTCCTCCTGTAGGTAATGAGAAGACATCAGAGGCTTTTCAGCTAGGGAGTAACTGACCAGATTTGTAGAAAAAGGAAAAAGGATCTGAGGACTGGGCAGGAGTGCGTTGGGAAGAGGA